GGTGGGCGCGAGGGCTCCTTTCATCTCATCTCATTTATTTACTTATTTTTATTTTTATTTATTTATTTTTTTGAGACAGAGTCTCGCTCTGTCACCCAGACTGGAGTGCAGTGGCGTGATCTCGGCTCACTGCAACCTCCACCTCACAGGTTCAAGCGATTCTCCTGCCTCAGCCTCCTGAGTAGCTGGGATTACAGGTGCCCGCCACCACCATGCCCAGCTACTTTTTGTATTTTTAGTAGAGACGAGGTTTCACCATGTTGGCCAGGCTGGTCTCGAACTCCCGACCTCAAGGATTCCACCCGTCTTGGCCTCCCAGATTGTTGGGATTACAGGCGTGAGCCACTGCGCCTGGCCCAGTCTCGGTGTTTAAGGTCATGCTGGCTTGTGAGTGTCTTCTTGGCCTGACGGTGGCCTCTGACCCCCTCCCATTGGAGCGGCACCCCTGCATTCCCTGCATTCCCTGGGCCGGGGAGACAGGTGAAGAACTTGCTGCTTGTTACGCATGTGGGGCTGCTTTGAGTTGCCCGTGCTCGTAGCAGAGGTGGGTTGGTTGGTTCTTGCTTCTGAGTTCCTCCACTCTGCCGTAGCTCACTTCCAGGGTGGCGGTCACACGGCCTGCCCAAGGCCACCTCACAGTACCAGCTGCTGTCTCACAAGTGGTGACCTGAGCGAAGCCACTGCCAACACCTTTGACTCATGTTCTCATTGAAATTGAGCATCGGCCCCGTTTTGCAGTTAAAAAAACCGAGGCTGAGTGGGGTCAGTGACCGAATTGGATTTGAACCCTCTTGGACTTGGCAGCAGCTGCCAGGGCATAGCCTCCGGAATCCATTGCACGTCCCCTAGCTGGCCACCACTCCCATCCTGTGTGTTCATTTTAAAATCTCTTGTAGAGAGGAAGGCTTGCCATGTTGCCCAGTGTTGAACTCCTGGCCTGAAGCGATCCTCCCGCCTCAGCCGCCCAAAGCACTGGAATTACAGATGTGAGCCACTGCATCGGGCTGTGTTCCGATTTTTACAACAGCTAATTCAGAATGTTTGGAAGCGCAGTGTGGGCCACACGTGACTGTGGGCTACATCCAGCCCTGGAGCTGTTAGTTTCTGATCCATGATTTACGATATTGCTGAGCTCATTCCAGACCCAGGCCTGCGGGGCGGCAGCCTGGTCCTCGTCCCACTCCGGCTCTCGCGGACACTCAGTGAAGCTCTTCCCTCTCCTTTCCTACTCCAAATGCCCAACCCCACCCCTGGCCCAAATTCCTCATTCTTCTGTAGAAACCGTCTCCACCTCCGAGCCAGGTCTGGCATTCAGTTTTAACACCCTGACACCACCCGCATTTAATCAGCTATTAGAGCTGGCAGGGCCTGGGCTGTGGTGTCCTGGAAAGAATACGGGCTGCAGTGTTCCCCGAGGCAGCCCCCATCCTGACTTAGCAGCTAATGCCACTGGGAACATGGCTCCGAGGCTCCGAACCTGGGCTTGCTCAGTCAGCAGGAGCGGGACAGCCCACCCGTCCCCCGGGGTTGTCAGGGTGAACTTCAGAGGGTGCAGGTGCTCAGGAACGCCCCCTCCCTGCCTGTCTGTCTTCCTTTCCCCTCGCACACCCTCAGTGGTGGCTGCCTGTTCATCTGGAATGCTTGCTCGACAGGCCCCAGGTATTACAGAACCATTAAAACTGAGATCACTCTGCAGCCGCCCTGTGCAGACCGGCCTCCCGCACATCTGCTACTTACTACAGCCTTCCAGAAGGCCTGTCGCTTCTGATGGCCTCATTTCACGTTAGGGGCTCCTGGGTTCCAAGGCCTCTGGGATCCCTCCCAGTGCCTGTCCGCCACTTCCTCTCCTCAATCACGGCTTGTGACGGCCAGCCGAACACGCGCTCTTTCCTGCTTCTTGTCACCCATCTATGGCTCCTTTGAAGTTTTTGGTCAGGAGCTGAGCCGTCCAAGACAGCAGCCCCCTGTCAGATGTGGCTACTGGGCTCTTACAATGCAGTCAGTCCGGATGTGCTGAACGTGGAAAACATGCACCAAGCTTCAAGGGCTTGGTGTGAAAACAAACGTGGCCTTTTCTTTCTTTCTTTTTTTTTTTTGAGACGGAGTCTTGCACTGTTGCCCAGGCTAGAGTGCAGTGGCGCGATCTCGGTTCATTGCAATCTCCGCCTCTTGGGTTCACGCCATTCTCCTGCCTCAGCCTCCCGAGTAGCTGGGACTACAGGTGCCCGCCACCTCGCCGGTCTAATGTTTTGTACTTTTAGTAGAGACGGGGTTTCACCGTGTTAGCCAGGATGGTCTCGATCTCCTGACCTCATGATCCTCCCACCTCCGCCTCCCAAAGTGCTGAGATTACAGGCGTGAGCCACCGCACAGGGACCTTTCTTTTTTTTTTTTTTTGAGACAGAGTCTGGCTCTGTCGCCCAGGCTAGAGTGCAGTGGCGCCATCTGGGCTCACTGCAAGCTCCGCCTCCCGGGTTCACGCCATTCTCCTGCCTCAGCCTCCCGAGTAGCTGGGACTACAGGCGCCCGCCACCATGCCGCTAATTTTTTGTATTTTTAGTTGAGACAGGGTTTCATCGTGGTCTCGATCTTCTGACCTCGTGATCTGCCCGCCTCGGCCTCCCAAAGTGCTGGGATTACAGGCGTGAGCCACCGCGCCCGGCCCACATGTGGCCTTTTCGAGTAAATCTCCCAACCTCCACGTGAACATCCAAGCTTCAGTACCGGGCCCTTGTGGAATGGGAGTGGGCACCGGCACCTCTCAGATACAGCCTGGCTGTAGGGGAGAGCATCCTAGGGTGCTGGGGTGGCCCTGGGGCCTGTGGAGTCACCATGAGGGAGTGGAGTAGCCCAGGGGCCCCTGTCTGGAGCTGGACTCTGCAGGCTGGCCTGAGGGGAGAAGCCAGAGCTACAGGGGCAGGCGGTGCCAGGGCTGCAGTCAAGGTGGGACACCCTTTGCCTGAGGAGCGGCTGGGTGGGGGGAGCTGGGCACTGTGCCCCTGGTCCCTGCCACGCTTTTCAAGGTCACAGGCCTGGAGCAGGGGGCACACCCCACACATGCCCTGTGCTGTGGCCACGGTCAGCCTCCTGCTGCCCCGAACACAGCGAGGGCTCCTTCATGCCTCCGTGCCCGCTGACAGGCGGCTCTTTGTCCCTCTGCCTGGAACACCCTCCCCCATCTCCTCCTCACGGTGACTGTCCTTCCTCAAGGCCCGGCCCCAGTGTCACCTCCTTGTTTCTGCTCCCCGGGCACCCGGATTGCTTCTCCTTGGCATTTTTGCCACGTCGAGGTGGTCTGACCCGTTCCTGTTCCCGTCCTGAGCCCGGGTCTCCTCCAGGAAGGGGCCGTCTCCGTCTCAGTCCGTGGCTGTTTCTTCACTGACTGCACACCGGGGCCTGGCTTTGCCTCCGTGGCAGATGAGTGGAAACCATGACTTTTTCTTGTGTTATTGCAGCGGCTGGAGCGGGCCGCTCTGACTCTCCGGAGCGCTGGCCCAAAGCCTTAGGCTGCTCCTTGCCGTGTGGGGGGTCCTGCCTCTCCTGGGGCTTGTCCGTGGGGTTAGGGGTTGCTCGTGGTGTTTTATCTGATGTCCTTTCTGCACCTTTTTTTTTTTTTTTTTTTTTTTTTTTTTGAGATAGAATCTCACTGTGTCTCCTGAGTTCAAGTGATTCTCCTGCCTCAGCCTCCTGAGTAGCTGGGATTATAGGTGCCTGACTAATTTTTTGTATTTTTAGTAGAGATGGGAATTCACCATGTTGGCCAGGCCGGTCGCGAACTCCTAACCTGGTGATTCGCCTGCCTTGGCCTCCCAGAATGCTGGGATTACAGGCGTGAGCCACTGCGCCTGGCCAATTTTTTTGTATTTTTAGTAGAGACGGGGTTTCACCATGTTAGGCTGGTCTCAAACCCCTGACCTCAAGCAGTCCACCCACCTCAGCCTCCCAGAGTGCTGGGATTTCAGGTGTGAGCCACCACGCCAGGCTCCTTTCTGACCTCTTGAGTGGATCTTTGGCTTCTTGCCTTTTTAAAGTGGCACCAGGGTCGATTTGATGAAGATTTCCCCTGCCGTCTTGAACTTGGGTGGAAGGAGAGGGAGAATCCTCAGGGGCGTCCGCGGCTCTGTGTGCCTAACGTCTCCGCGGGGTGTCTCCAGCTTGAGGGTGGGAAGGGGCTCGAGATAGACCCACCCCAAGCAGGGAGAGGGCTGGAGGGGAGCCATTGCCCTGCCTCCCTCCTGGGAAAGGTGAGCACTTTGTCAAAGTCTGGTGTGACGGGGAAAAACGCTTTCACACAGCTCCCACTGCAACTGAGTGGGAATTAAGTATTTGCTTCGTTGGTCTTTTTTGAAAACAGGTTTATTGAGGTGTAATTCACATACCTTACAGTGTCCCCTTTGAAAGTGTGTGACTCAGTGGATTGTAGTATATTCATGACATTGTCCTCATCATCACAGTCAATTTTACAGTATTCCATCACCCCAGAAAGAACTGTGTCCTCATCAGCAGTCACCCCCATCCCCTCCTCCAGCCCCCGGCACCCATGCATCCCCTTCCTGTCCCTGGATCAGTCTGTCCTGGACAGTTCATAGAAATGGGATCACATACTGTGTGGCCTTTTGTGTCTGGCATCTCACACTACGTGTGACACCCTCAGGGTCCATCCACGCCGTGGCCGGGGTCAAGGCCTGGTTCCTTTTTACGGCTGAGTCCTGTTTCGGTGGGGGATGGGCTGCGCTGGGTTGGCCTGTTCTGCCCTGGGCGGGCGCCTGGGCTCTTGCCACCCTTGCCTGCTGTGAATCGTGGTGGTATGAGCGCTTGTGGACACGTTTCTGTGCGGACGCACGTGTCCGCTTCTCCTAGGCGAGCATCTAGGGGTGGAATTGCGGAGCGGGGGCTGAGTTGGTCTTGACCACTGTTGTGAACGCCTGCAGAGCAGAGGCCCCAAATGTCCTCATCCCATTTTCGGGCGCCCCCAAGCTGGTCTCCCCCCTCTCCCCGGCAGCTGATCCACCTTGAGATCAAGCCGGCCATCCGGAACCAGATCATCCGCGAGCTGCAGGTCCTGCATGAGTGCAACTCGCCGTACATCGTGGGCTTCTACGGGGCCTTCTACAGCGACGGGGAGATCAGCATCTGCATGGAGCACATGGTGAGTGCGTCCGGGACAGAGGCAGGGGCAGGGCCTCCCTGGAATAGAGCATGTTGGGGAGAAGGAAGGCTCCCCCTCACGGCCCCTTTCCTCGGAGGCAGCAGTGCGCCGGCTTCCAGGGGATGCCATACAGCTGTGCATATAGATGCTTTGGTTTTGTTTTGTTTTCTTTTTGTGTTTTTTGAGAGGCAGTCTCACTGTGTCGCCCGGGCTGGAGTCTAGTAGTGCCGCAATCTCGGCTCACTGCAACCCCACCTCCCAGGTTCGAGCCATTCTCCTGACTCAGCCTCCCGAGCAGCTGGGATTACAGGTGCCCACTACCACGCCGGCTAATTTTTGTATTTTTAGTAGAGACAGGGTTTCACCATGTTGGCCAGGCTGGTCTCAAACTCCTGACCTCAAGTGATCCTCCTGCCTCGACCTCCCAAAGTGCTGGGATGACAGGCATGAGCCGCCGCGCCCGGCCAATGATTTTGTTTTTTAAGCACTCATGCCTTCCTCCCGGCTTTGCTTTTTCTCTTGCTGTATCCCGGGTATCGTCAGGACAGCAGAGAGGGAAAACACTCCCGTTTTGGGGGTCACGTAGGTTGTTTCCAGCCTCTGCCCCATCTCAAGTAACAAGGTACTGACTCGCAGGCAAACCTGTGAGGTTAAACCGTGTGAGGGAATTGCTGGGTTCCAGGGCAGATGCGATTAAAAATTGATCATTATCAGGCCGGGCACGGTGGCTCATGCCTGTAATCAGGATCTTTTAAGCCCAGGAGTTCGAGACCAGCCTGGGCGACAGAGTGAGAAACCATCTCTATAATTGAAAATATTAAGTGAGTGTGGTGGCACGTGCCTGTTTTAAGATTTTTAACAACATTTAAAAATGGGGATAAAAGTAGCGCCAGCTACATGAGAGGCTGAGGCAGGAAGCTCCCTTGAGCCCGGGAGGTTGAGGCTACGGTGAGCTTTGGTCAAGCCGCTACACTCCAGCCTGGGCAGCAGAGCGAGACGCTGTCTCAAAACAAAACTAAGCTGATGACCGTTTTTAAATGGCCTTCTCAGGAAGGTGTGGCAGTCTGAGCTTGTCAAGGCGGGTCTGTGCCTCCCCCAGCTCAGATCTGTGGGATCAGTCTCTAGGGTGGGGCACAGGCATCCCCTCCACGGACTCTGACGTGCCCCCTTGTTAAGACTGTCTGGCCTTGAAGCTCAGAAGTGGGTAAGATTGGGTGGAACAAAAGGAGAAGTGGCCAGAGCTCAAAACCCCGGAGGAAACGCTGCCGACCCCGCTACACCGAGCTCGTCAGGTATCAGACTGCCCGCCACACGGCATCCTTTGCAAAACCAGAATGCTTGGGTGACATCCTGCAAACGTGCGATCCCCTTTGACAATTTTGTAATAAAGGCAGGAAGTGAATTTGAGCAAGGGCCCCACATAGCCATGTGACTCGGGCAAGGCGGCACCCGCCTTGGAACCCCTTTCCCGCCAGCAAGGGAGACCTGGCGTCTGCCCCGCTGCTCGCAGAGTCACGGTGCCGGCGGCATCAAAGGGCGAGGAAAGGATGAGGAAGTGCTTTGTGGTCTGAGGTGGCCCCTCTGTCATGTAGTGCTCCCCATTCCTCCTCGTCTTCCTCGTCTTCCCGCTCCTCGCGCCCAGCAGGCACCCGCTCTACTCAGGAGTTCCGTCCTCCCCTCATGTGGCTGACTCAGCTCTCAAGACCCGTGCTTCCCATGCGGAAACGGGAGAGCATGGCAACCCTCCCCCAACCTCTGTTCTTGGTGAATTTAAAATGGGGGTTCCCTGAGTGGGTGCTGGCACCCCAGGGGACACCACACAGAGCACCAAGCTGCAAGAGGGAGACACAGGCCATGCTGTCTGTGTTTATGGGGTGCATTCTTTAGAAGTTCCAAGTTTGTCTAGCCAGGGGTGGTGGCTCACACTTGTAATCCCAGCACTTTAGGAGGCCGAGGTGGGAGGATCACCTGAGGTGAGGAGTTCAAAAACCTGGCCAACATGGTGAAACCCCGTCTCTACTAAAAATGTAAAAATTAGCCAGGCACGGTGGCGAGTGCCTGTAATCCCAGCTACTCAGGAGGCTGAGGCAGGAGAATCGCTTGAATCTGGGAGGCAGAGGTTGCAGTGAGCCGAGATCGCACCACTGTACTCCAACAACAGAGTGAGGCTCTATCTCAAAAAAAAAAAAAAAATGTGGCCCACGCCTATAATCCCAGCACTTTAGGAGGCTGAGGTGGGTGAATCACTTAAGCTCAGGAGTCCAAGAGTAGCCTGGGCAACGTAGTGAAGCCCCGTCTCTACGAAAGTACAGAAATTAGCCAGGTGTGGTGTGCACGCCTGTAATCCCAGCTACTCAGGACAAGAGTCGGTTGAACACTGGAGGAGGAGCTTGCCGTGAGCTGATGGCGCCACTGCACTCCAGCCTGGGCGACAGAGCAAGACTGTCTCAAAAAAAACGTCGGCCAGGCGCGGTGGCTCACGCCTGTCATCCCAGCACTTTGGGAGGCTGAGGCGGGTGGATCACGAGGTCAGGAGATCGAGACCATCCTGGCTAACACGGTGAAACCCTGTGTCTACTAAAAAAAAAAATACAAAAAAAATTAGCCGGGCGAGGTGGCGGGCGCCTGTAGTCCCAGCTACTCGGGAGGCTGAGGCAGGAGAATGGCGTGAACCCGGGAGGCGGAGCTTGCAGTGAGCCGAGATGGCGCCACTGCACTCCAGCCTGGGTGACAGAGTGAGATTCCGTCTCAAAAAAAAAAAAAAAAAGAACTAAAAAAAACAATGTGGAACATGTTGATTTTAAAGCATCAGGTGAGCCCTGACAGGGCAGCATCCTAGGAAGTAAAGCCATCCAAGGGGGCCATCCCTGCCACCCTCGCCGGCCCTGTGAATCCTCTCCATGCTGAACAGTGCCCTCGGAATTCACCCATGTGCCCATAGGTTTCCACGGCAGGGCCTGCCCAGCACCTGATTCATTCCCTTCCAGGCCACCCCAGTGAGGCAAAGAGGCAGCTTAGCACCAGGGCTGAGGATGGGCGTCCAGATGAGGTCTCGGCCCCACTGCTCACTCTCACCACGAGTTCAGGACAGGACTCTTGCTGCTTCTGCTGTGAAGCCGAGGGAGGCGGTAGTCCCTGCTGGGGTGAGGACTATGTGAGCTCTCCCCAGGATGGCACCTGGCACGCACGGGGTGTTGCATCCGTGTCCTGCGGCCATTTCCCTGTATTTCTATGCAATTGCCCCATATTTCTGTGTCTTCTTTATTTTCTTTTATCTGGGGAGTAGGGGGGTACAAGGTCTCTCTCTGTCACCCAGGCTGGAGTGCAGTGGCATGATCCTAGCTCACTGCAGCCTGCACCTCTTGGGCTCAAGCGATCCTCCTGCCTCAGCCTTCCAAGGAGCTGGGACTACAGGTGCACCAGCACGCTCAGGTAGTTTTTTAAGTTTTTTGTAGATATGGGATCTCGCTATGTTGCCCAGGCTGATCTTGAACTCCTGGGCTCAAATGATTCTGCCGCCTCAGCCTCCCAAAGTGCTGGGATTACAGGGGTGAGCCACCGTGCGCAGTCATGTATTTATATAAAATGGCCAGCACTTGTTGGTGACTGGAGCTTAGGAACAGTGGGGCTGGCTGCTTCCCTTGGGCCTGAACCTATTGCTGGATAACTCGGGGCAAGAACCCAGTGGACACTGGGACCTCATGGGATGGGAAAGGAGAGCCAGTGACTTAGGGACCTCATAGAGGTGCCCCTTGGCCTTTCTCGGGGTCTCGTGAAATCTGCTGAAGAATGCCCACGTTGTTCTGCAGTAATGGAAACTGGACGTGTCCATCACTAAGGAAGCGATTCAAGAATGATATTTGGCCGCTTTGCAGTGGCGAAGTGAAATCCACAAGGGTGTACTGAATGGGAGTATCCCCAAATACAACACTACTCATGTAGTGGAGGGGTGGTTGTAGAAAATAAACATCGCATGGGCTGGGCGCCGTGGCTCACGTTTATAATCCCAGCACTTTGGGAGGCCAAGGCAGGCGGATCACGAGGTCAAGAGTTCGAGACTGTCCTGGCCAACATGTTGAAACCCCATCTATGCTAAAAATACAAAATTAGCTGGGCACGGTGGTGCACGCCTGTAGTCCCAGCTGCTCAGGAGGCTGAGGCAGGAGGATCACACAAACCTGGGAGGTGGAGCTTGCAGTGAGCCGAGATCATGCCACGGCACTCCAGCCTGGCGCCAGAACAAGACTCGGTTTCAAAATAAAAGAAAAAGAAAATAAACATAGCATTGGCCCATTCATTTATTTATTGTCTTTTCAAGTCAGGGTCTTGCTGAGTTGCCCAGACTAGAGTACACTGGTGCCATCCTCCCACCTCAGCCTCCCGAGTAGCTGGGACCACAGGCACAAGCCACCATGCACAGCGAATTTATTTGCTTATTTTTGTAGAAATGGTGTCTCTCTATGTTGCCCACGCTGGTCTTGAACTCCTGTCCACAAGTGACCCTCCTGCCTCGGCCTCCCAGCGCTTTGGGAGAATCACGTGAGCCCAGTAGGTCGAGGCTGCAGCGAGCTATGATTGAGCCACTGCTCTATAGCCTGGGCAACAGAGTGAGTCCTGAGACTATATTTCCAAATACACAGTCAGAACTGGGGACCAGGTGCTCACTTCTGTAATCCCAGCATTTTGGGAGGCTGAAGCGAGAGGACCTCTTGAGCCCAGGAGTTTGAGAGCAGCCTGGGCAACGTGAGGAACCCCAGTCTCTACAAAAAATTGGCAGGACTTGATGTCGCGCCTGTAGTCCCAGCTACTTGGAAGGCTGAGGTGGGAGGATTGCCTGAACCCAGGAGGTCGAGGCTGCAGTGAGCCAAGATCCCACCACTCTGCTGCCGTCTGGGCAACTCCTGTCTCACAGAGAGAAAGAGAAAAGATCTGAAACAATCTGAGTCACACTTGAGGGGAGAATGGTGGAAGCAATGGGGCGTCCGGGTTTTTTATCTTCGTTTGAATTTTTTACAAGAAAAATGTGTTCGCCTACTACCTATGTAACAAAAGTACAGTTACAAGACTATTTGAAACACACACACACACACACACGGACACTCACACACTCACACACGCACACACGGTAGAAGTGTATGGTCATGCACAGAGTGAGATTTGGAGCCAGCAGTACACAGCTGCAATACCCTCTGCGCCACATCCTGTCTCTGTGACTCAGACAAACTGCTTGTCCTGCCAGACGTTGGTCTTTATAGCTGGAGACCAGCCCTTCTCAACCAGGGGCAGTTCTCCCTCCCAGGAGACACCTGGCACTGTCTGGGGACGTGTGTGGTTATCACGTCTGCGGGGTGCTCCTGGCATGGAGTGGGTGGAGGCCAGGGGCGCTGCTCAGCACCCTGCAGTGCCCACACCGGCCCCACCCCAGAGAGTGGCCTGGCCCCGATGTCACAGTGCAGAAAGACGGCTGCAGAGAGAGCTCCTGTGAGGCGCCTTCCGCCAGCTCACGAGGCTCGCAGCCCGGCACTCCACCCGCCCTCACCTCCTGGGAAAGGCTTTCTGAATTTGCTCACGCAGCAAACATTGATTGTGACTCTCTGAGAAACAGAGACTGAAGGAGCTGTGCTGGGCAGCAGGGGTTTTAGGGTTTTAGGGTTGCGTTGGCTGCCTTGGCTGCGCTGGCTGCGTTGGCTGCGCTGGCTGCATTGGCTGTGTTGGTTGCGTTGGTTGTGTTGGTTTGTGTTGGTTTGTTTTCCGCCACCCTGCCTCTTTGAAGTTGTTGATCTCTTTCTGGTTTTTGTTTTTTTGAGGTAGGGTCTCCCTCTGTCACCCAGGCTGGAGTGCAGTGGGGCGATCTCGGCTCACTGCAACCTTGACCTCCCAGGTTCAAGGGATCCTCCCACTGCAGCCTTCCGAGTAGCTGGGACTACAGGCTTGCGCCACCACGCCCGGCTAATTTCTGTATCTTTTGTAGACGTGGGGTCTCACTGCTGTGTGGCTCGGGCTGGTCTCAAACTCCTCAGCTCAAGCATGCGTTTTCCTCAGCCTCCCGAAGGGGTAGGAGCATAGGTGTGAGCCACCACGTCTGGCCTTTTTTTTTTTAAATTGAGGAGTCTCGCTCTGTCACCCAGGCTGGAGAAAAGTGGCGTGATCTCCACTAACAGCAACCTCCGCCCCCCGGGTGCAGGCGATCCTCCCGGGTTCAGGCGATCCCCCCAGGTTCAGGCGATCCTCCTGCCTCAGCCTCCGGAGTAGCTGAGATTACAGGCGCCCACCACCACACCCAGCTAATTTTTTGTATTTTTAGCGGAGGTGGGGTTTTACCGTATTGGCCAGGCTGGTCTCAAACTCCTGACCTCAAGTGACCCTCCTGCCTCAGCCTCCCAAAGTCCTGGCATTACAGGCGTGAGCCACTGCTCCCAGCCCATGTCTGGCCTCTTTTTAAAGAATTAGTTTAAGGTAGATTGATAAAAACTGAGAATAGAAGCAGTTTCCACCTGGCCCTGTCTCACCGGAGCTCCCATCCCGGCCCCTCCTCCTGGGCTGTCTGAACCCTGGCCACACCTGCCCTCCCACCCTGTGTGTCTGCATCTTCAGCCTGGAGCTGGTGGATGGAGTCACATCTGTGCTGTACAGGCCTCAAAGCGTGTCGGGTTCTCTAGAACTGCCCTCGGCCTTTCTCTCCGAGCCTAGCTGGGCAGAAGTGGCCAGAAAGCGGCAACCCGGGCACCCCTGAGTCCCAGGATTTCTCCCCCGGCTCCTCCCACCCATGTGAATGAAAGCCGTCCTGGGGAAGGCTGGGCTTTTGCAGGAGTCCTGGAGCAGCGTGGTGGGGAAATCCAGGCTCCCCGGCTCACCTCTCCAGCCTCAGTTCTGCTTTCCTCTCTGCTGAGCACAGAAGAGAAGCATGCCAGACGGTGGCAGTGGGAACTCGGCCGGTCACCTCCTGCTGTCCTGGGGGTGGCCTGGCAGGTGTGTCTGGAGCCTCCACCTCTGAAGAGGCATCTTGGGTGGCTTCCAGGGCCTGGGGTTTTGGCATTTGGGGGTTTTGGTCCCCAGGCTTGTTGCCAGGCAGCCTTGGGCAAGACATGGAATTTCTGTTTCACCATTCATGACATGGAGGTGGGGCCGCACCCAGGGGCCAGCCTAGCCGTGATGGCTGGTTCCCAGGCCTCCACAGGATGCCTGGCACAGCGGCGAGGAGACTGAGGCTGTGGGGAGGGGCCAAGGTCACAGTCACCTGGGCTGGCCTCACTGGGGTCCGTCCTACAGTCCATGCACCCCCTGGCACCTGGTCCTACTCAACCTGGCCTTTCTGTCCTAAGCGGCAGGGACAGGCGCAGGGCTTGGTTAGGGAGCCCCTGTGGGGGTCTGGACAGGCACACAGCAACCCTCCGTCTCCTCCCACATGGGCAGCGCCCGCTTCTCCTCCACGCCCTGACCCTCCCCTTCCCTTCGTGTGCTGGGAAGAGGACCCAGGCCCAGGAAGCTGATCTCCAGCCTGGCCGCCTCCCATGGCGCACAGACAAGCCCACCATGCAGGCTTCAGGGAGCGCAGGCCCCACAGCTGGCTGAGCCCCCGGCCACGGCTTGGGCTGGCCTGGAGCAGAGCCTCTGCCGTGGCGACCTCAGGAGGGCCGAGTCACGCAATTGATTCCAGGAAGGGACGGGAGGTGGGGGCGCCCTGGGCCCTGTTTCTCTGCCACCTTGTGGGCGGGTGTGCAGACCCAAAGCAGAACTATCAGAAGGCCCCTTGACCAGTGGGTGGAGTTGGGCTCCGGCCCCCGCTTCCCATCAGTCAGGAGGCAGACCGCCCCCTCGCCGGGAGAGGGGGACGCATCCGTGGCTTCCCAGTCACCTACTCAGAGCCTGCACTCACTCGTCGTGTGCCCTCTAGGATGGCGGCTCCCTGGACCAGGTGCTGAAGGAGGCCAAGAGGATCCCCGAGGAGATCCTGGGGAAAGTCAGCATTGCGGTGAGTCCCGCCACAGACCCTGCACAGGCCTCCTCCACACGGCCAGGGTTCCAGGAGCCACTCACAGTGCGGTGGGGGTTAGGGTGGCCCCTGCAGAAAGAGAGTGGCCAAGGCTGTGCCCACCCCCTGTGGAGCTTGAACAAGTGACGTCCCTTTTGGGGCCCGAGGTCACCATCTGCCGAGTGAAGACGTTAGGTTTCCTCTTCACTCTTAGTATCCTCTGTTTGCCATGCTGGTCCTCTCTGACCCTCGTGGCAGGGGGATGTTGGCCGCTAGTACGTTGCAGGGGACAGGAGCTTGTTGAAGGGGAAACCCTGGGGTGGGACGTGGGACGCCAGGACCTCCAGACACACTCCCCCTTGCTGTTAGAAATGCCACCGGGGCCAAGGGCGTCTCTGCTGCCCGGTCTCCAGCGCAGTTGCTCCGCAGAGCCGTGTGGCCTCAGCAGACCGTGCGTGTTGCTTCTAGGAGCTTGCACCTTGCCCATAGCAGGGGCCGAGTCCCACCTGCCCGTACCGGAGTTGGGATTAAGACGCAGGCCGCGTGCTGCCAGACGTGCGCTTCAGAGTAGAAAGCTGCCGTCAGCATTGCCTGTGCTGCTTCCTTCACTTCTCGGGATGCTCCTTCCAGGGTGGGCCTGGGGGAAGCAGCGTCCTTCCTGGGCACCCTTAGCCCGTCCCGTCTGGGGGCCCTTAGCACAGTCCCTGGGGCCCCAGGTGCGTTACAGATGCTGCCCTTCAGGCTGGTGTGGGCAAACTCAGCAGCCCGGCCTACTCCTGGGCCGTGGGCCACCGTCTCAGCTTCCCTGGGGCTCAGCCGTGTGCCCTGATTCAGAGGCAGTAATGGCATTGGCCGCACTGCAGCCGTGTGGGAACCGGGGTTTACTTACACACAGCACAGGACCATCAGCATCGTCTGCCCTCGCTTGCTCCACCCCAGCGAGCTCCTCACAGCCTGAAACAGGGTTCCTGCCGCAGGTCCCTGGCTCCAGCTCTGGCTGCTCAGGTCCAACCCCTGGGCTCGGTCAGGAGCTAAGTCCTGGCGGCCTTGTCCCATGACCCTCTCTGCGCTCCCCTGCAGGTTCTCCGGGGCTTGGCGTATCTCCGAGAGAAGCACCAGATCATGCACCGAGGTAAGGCCCAACCCGCCCTCCCCAGAGCCCTGTGGGCTGGCAGGCAACTGTTGGGCGCCCCTCACTCGCCGCCTGCCGCCCCCAGATGTGAAGCCCTCCAACATCCTTGTAAACTCCAGAGGGGAGATCAAGCTGTGTGACTTCGGGGTGAGCGGCCAGCTCATCGACTCCATGGCCAACTCCTTCGTGGGCACACGCTCCTACATGGCTGTGAGTCCCCCCGGCTGTGAGTCCCCCCAGCTCTCCCCTCAACTCTCCCCCTCAGCTCTCGCCCCCAGTTCTCCCACGTAGCTCTCCCCTCCATCTCTTCCCCTCCGCTCTCCCCGCCAGTTCTCCTGCGCAGCTCTCTCCCCACCTCCCACAAGGCTTTCCCAGCTACTTCATGGGCACACGCGCCTGCATGGCCGTGAGCGCCCCCAGGACATTCCCACCCCAGCTGCACCCTCCCCTCCGTCAGCTCTGCCCACTTGCCGCAAGGCTTGGGTGCCTCCTGGGAGCCTGCTTTTCGGATTCCCCTTGCTATTTTTTATTTGTTAATTTATCAGTCTTTTGTAGACACGGGGTCTCGCTGTATTGCCCAGGCTGGTCATGAACTCCTGGGCTCAAGTGACCCTCTTGTCTCAGCCTCCCAAAGTGCTGGGATTCTGCCAGCAGGTGTGCCTGAGCCCCACGCCCAGCCAGATCTCCCCTTCCTGTTGGAATTCTCACGGAGGTTTTTGTCTCTAGCAATGCCTACCAGGTTTCTTTCTTTCTTTCTTTTTCTTTTTCTTTGTTTTTTTTTTTTTTTTTT